TCCTGAAAGATATTGTTAATAGGAACGTTATCCCTACAGACAAAAATCAGAAGATACAATTGACAATTTACTATAAAACTAAAAAAACGACCAACCTACTCATGAGAAACTCTCCAGACACAAAGCAGAACGCTTTAAAAGAGACCAATGTCGTCTATGCCTTCAAATGCCCACTTGGGGACTGTAAGCCTCAAAGAACTCAGTATATAGGCAAGACAACAACATCTCTTTCCAGGCGATTAACGATGCATAAGGAAGAGGGCTCCATTAGGGAACATATAATCTCTTTCCACAACCAGACCATCGCCAGAGAAGTCTTAACAAAAAACACAGAAATCATCGATAGATACAGCGATAGCAGCGGCTTGATATCTGCGAGGCACTACACATCAAGAAGTCAACACCAGCACTCAACAGCCAATTAATGCACAACTATATTCTACCCACTTCAAGACTCCGCACCAATATAGAAGCATCAAGAAATATATTATATATATATATATATATATATATATATATATATATATATATATATATATATATATATATATATATATATATATATATATATATATATATATATATATATATATATATATATATGGTCTGAATGGTCCCCAGGCATATATGCAACTGTAAACTCACACCCCCAAAAGTGACTCGAACCCATACTGCCAGGAGCACTCTGCAACTTATTTACCCGGTCGATTCCCCTGTAATTACCTAAGTGTAGTTACCTAAGTGTAGTTACAGGATGAGAACTACGCTCGTGGTGTCCCGTCTTCCCAGCACTCTTTGTCATATAACGCTTTGAACTATTGACGATCTTGGCCTCCACCACCTTCTCATTTAACTTGGTCCAACCGTCTACCACTCTGTTGGCGAAAGTGAATTTTCTTATATTTCTTCGGTATCTGTGTTTAGCTAGTTTAAATCTATGACCTCTTGTTCTTAAAGTTCCAGGTCTCAGGAAATCTTCCCTATCGATTTTATCAATTCCTGTTACTATTTTGTATGTAGTGATCATATTATCTCTTTTTCTTCTGTCTTCTAGTTTTGGCATATTTAATGCCTCTAACCTCACCTCGTAGCTCTTGCCCTTCAGTTCTGTGAGCCACTTAATAGCATGTCTTTGCACCTTTTCCAGTTTGTTGATGTGCTTCTTAAGATATGGGCGCCACACAACCGCTGCATATTCTAGTTTTGGCCTAACAAAAGTCGTGAACAATTTCTTTAGTATATCGCCATCCATGTATTTAAAAGCAATTCTAAAGTTAGAAAGCGTGGCATAGGCTCCTCGCACAATATTCTTTATGTGGTCCTCAGGTGATAGTTTTCAATCTAGAACCACCCTTAGATCTCTTTCTTTATCCGAATTCTTTAAAGATTTCTCACATAATATATAGGTTGTGTGGGGTCTATGTTCTCCTATTCCACATTCCATAACATGGCATTTATTAACATTAAATTCCATTTGCCAAGTGGTGCTCCATATACTTATTTTGTCCAGGTCATCTTGAAGGGCATGACAATCATCTAAGTTTCTTATCCTTCCTATTATCTTAGCATCATCAGCAAACATGTTCATATAATTCTGTATACCAACTGGTAGATCATTTATGTAGACAATAAACATCACTGGTGCAAGAACTGAGCCCTGTGGTACTCCACTTGTGACATTTCTCCAGTCCGATACATTGCCTCTGATTACTGCCCTCATTTTTCTATCAGTCAGAAAATTTTTCATCCATGTTAAAAGCTTACCTGTCACCCCTCCAATATTTTCCAGTTTCCAGAACAACCTCTTATGTGGAACTCTGTCGAAAGCCTTTTTTAGGTCCAGATAGATGCAGTCAACCCAACCATCTCTTTCCTGTAATATCTCTGTGGCTCGATCATAGAAACTGAGTAAATTCGATACACAGGATCTTCCAGATCGAAAACCGTACTGTCTGTCTGATATTATATCATTCCTCTCCAGGTGTTCTACCCATTTAGTTTTCCAATACTTTCACTATTACACTTGTCAATGATACAGGTCTATAATTGAGGGGGTCTTCCCTGCTGCCACTTTTGTAGATTGGAACTATGTTAGCCTGTTTCCACACGTCTGCTACGATTCCTGTGCACAGGGATGCCTGAAAGATCAGGTGAAGTGGAATGCTGAGCTCAGATGCACATTCTCTCAGAACCTATGGTGAAACTCCAGCTGGGCCAGCTGCTTTTTTCTTACTGAGCTCCTTTAGCATATTTTCCACTTCATCTGTAGACACCTCTATCCGCTCTATGTTGTTCTCTGGAATTCTTATTGTGTCTGGTTCTCTGAAGATTTCATTTTGTACAAACACACTTTGGAACTTTTCGTTTAATGTTTCACACATTTCCTTTTCATTTACCGTGAATCTGTTTCCCATTTTCAACCTCTGGATATTATCCTTTACCTGTGTGTGTTTGTGTGTGTGTGTGTGTACACGTTTTTAATATTGTTTGAAGCTTGTAAAGTTATATATAACAAAACACGATCTGTGGAAATAACCAATAATTGTTCATGCCATTTTGCTTCACCGTCGAGAGTCGGTTTAAGTTTGTTGAGACTTCTGCAACCAACTAATTAACTGTATGACTCTGGTTAAGCTTTCCATTCACGATATTTGGTATGGCGTTAGTAACCTGAATAGAAATTTCTGTTAATAAAACTTGTTTGTGTGCTGTTTCAAATTGAGCCACTCGGAACAAAAGCTCCAATCAGAACGGGTCGTGGTGAGCCGGTAGTGATTGTGTGCGTGCAGGTAAGTGATTGTGCTATCTTTGATCAGTATTTTGCTTTCTGTGGCTATTTAACGATTATTATTACCTCCTTTAGTTTAATATTCAATGGTTATTTGTTCTCATGTGATATCCCGTGTCTAACACGTCATATCAAGGTGAATTAAAAATGCAGCTTTTAGTGTCTTAGTAATAAGTGATCCCATTCTAGTTGCCGCCTCTACTATGCGTTGTATTATGCTTATAATTTTGCATTAGTGTTATTCTTGTATTTCAATTATTCGTAAAGAATTAAAAAATATCGATATCCAACATTCTGGTTTCTTCTTAACTTGTTATGATCTTAGTCATGAAGCTGTTTGTGTCAGGAACTGGCATAATTAAAGGCTACATTTATATTTTATCAAACAATAGCAACTCTTCTGATTATCTCATTGCTTATAATTTATTTTATATTAACTTTTACCTTTGTACTGTGATAATTTTGTGAAGATCATTTACATCCTTGCCAATAAATCTTCAGTTTTTTTCTTCCTTAACTCTTTCTTTAATCTCATTTACTTTGTTGGATATTCCATCCTCATATAGTATAAAAATTTATGATCTCCAGTCATAAAATCACTCGGCCTATTAGGCAAGTCGGGTCTTGCCTAGTAGGCCGAGAAGTGCGTTCTGGCTACTAGGTACGACATATATATATATATATATATATATATATATATATATATATATATATATATATATATATATATATATATATATAAACACAAGAATATTCATTATTCATTATATTCAATTGTGATTTTGCTTTCTCCTTCATATATTGAATTTGCTTGTTGAATATCAATTTAGAATCTATTCACACTCCGAGATATTGATATTGTATAACCCACTGAAGGTTAATGTCTTGAATTCGTAAGTACCTGTCTGTAGTGTTGCCACCTAGTCTTCTTGACTTCTTGACATAGCCACCTTGCCTTAGACTTCTGTGCAGATATTTTTAGCACTAAAATGACCCATTCAGATGTTACTTTATCTAACGCCTTTTGTGCTTTATTTAGAAGTGAAGGACCTGTAATGACTAATGCTATATCATCAGCATAGCTTAGCAATTTAACCCCTTCTGCAAATGATATGGTAACGAGGTTTTCCTTAAGGATGTTAAAAAGACTAGGACTGAGGACTCCTTGTGGAGTCCCATTCTCTTGCAAGTGGTAGTCCGACACTTGTCCTTGCAACTGTGCGCTGACATGCATGTGACTTCGGCAAAGTTCCTTATATGAATGTCTCCTCACGATATTTATCATAATGTTTAATGGTATAACTTTCAGGTCTTTGCGTATTTGTTAGGTCAGAAAGATTTCATTTGATATTAGTGTAAGTATTCTGTCACTGGTAATGAAACATCCATAAATTTATACCTACCAGTTTTCGGTATGTAGTCTTTGCTAGCGTGTCAACAATGTCATACTTTGAGATGCCAACTTTTAAAGGTATCGAAAGAAATTTACTTTCAAATCTGTTTTCTTTAGCGGCTAAAACATAGTATAAATAATTATTTATCTCTGAAACAAATGCAACATACTTCATAATTTATTTGTATGATTATAATTGCTAACAAATATTGTGACTCTGAGAAGTGTATTTAAGTTTTAACAAAGTTCACAAGAAAATCAGTGTAGACTCCAAGATGACGACGCTCGAGACCTGGCAGAGGAGTCAACCTCGAGAGATGTATTGAACACAGACTCTAAGATAGACTTCGATTAACACGAAAGGATTCAGAGTTCGTACTTGAAGTTGAACTAAATTTAGATTTATATTCTGCAGCCTCAACCATACCCACCATGGCCGCCACCACCACCATGGCCGCCACCACCACCATGGCCACAACCACTACCATGGCCACCATCACTATGGCCACGACCATGGCCACCATCACCATGGCCACAACCACTACCATGGCCACCATCACCATGGCCACGACCATGGCCACCACCACCATGGCCACCATCACCATGGCCACGACCACGACCATGGCCACCACCACCATGGCCACCATCACCATGGCCACGACCACGACCATGGCCACCACCACCATGGCCGCCACCACCACCATGGCCACCATCACCATGGCCACGACCACTACCATGGCCACCACCACCATGGCCGCCACCACCACCATGGCCACCACCACCATGGCCACAACCACTACCATGGCCACGACCACGACCATGGCCACCATCACCATGGCCACAACCACGACCATGGCCCCCACCACCATGGCCACAACCACTACCATGGCCACCATCACCATGGCCACGACCACGACCATGGCCACCACCACCATGGCCACGACCACGACCATGGCCACCACCACCATGGCCACAACCACTACCATGGCCACCATCACCATGGCCACGACCACGACCATGGCCACCATCACCATGGCCACAACCACGACCATGGCCACCACCACCATGGCCACAACCACTACCATGGCCACCATCACCATGGCCACGACCACGACCATGGCCACCACCACCATGGCCACAACCACGACCATGGCCACCACCACCATGGCCACAACCACGACCATGGCCACCACCACCATGGCCACCATCACCATGGCCACGACCACGACCATGGCCACCACCACCATGGCCACCATCACCATGGCCACGACCACGACCATGGCCACCACCACCATGGCCACGACCACGACCATGGCCACCATCACCATGGCCACAACCACGACCATGGCCACCACCACCATGGCCACAACCACTACCATGGCCACCACCACCATGGCCACGACCACGACCATGGCCACCACCACCATGGCCACAACCACTACCATGGCCACCACCACCATGGCCACAACCACGACCATGGCCACCACCACCATGGCCACAACCACGACCATGGTCACCACCACCATGGCCACAACCACGACCGTGGCCACCACCACCATGGCCACGACCACTACCATGGCCACCACCACCATGGCCGCCACCACCACCATGGCCACCACCACCATGGCCACAACCACTACCATGGCCACCACCACCATGGCCACGACCACGACCATGGCCACCATCACCATGGCCACAACCACGACCATGGCCACCACCACCATGGCCACAACCACTACCATGGCCACCATCACCATGGCCACGACCACGACCATGGCCAACACAAATGCGAACAAGCCTGAATGGTCCCCAGGACAATATGCAACTGAAAACTCATGAGGTGATAGCCGAGGCTATCACCTCATTTTGTCCGGTCGTGATGGTCAAGTGGATTAAGGCGTCTTGTACGTACCAGTTGCGTGGCTCCTGGGAGTATGGGTTCGAGTCACTTCTGGGGTGTGAGTTTTCAGTTGCATATTGTCCTGGGGACCATTCAGGCTTGTTCGCATTTGTGTTCCTCACGTGTGCCCCAAAGAATGAGGAGATTTGGTAAAATGCTATGCCCAAGATTACTATCCGAGTGCCGGCGGTGGGGTGGTTCAAATAGCCTCGGCTATCACCTCATTTTGTCCGGTCGTGATGGTCAAGTGGATTAAGGCGTCTTGTACCTACCAGTTGCGTGGCTCCTGGGAGTATGGGTTCGAGTCACTTCTGGGGTGTGAGTTTTCAGTTGCATATTGTCCTGGGGACCATTCAGGCTTGTTGCATTTGTGTTCCTCACGTGTGCCCCAAAGAATGAGGTGATTTGGTAAAATGCTATGCCCAAGATTACTATCCGAGTGCCGGCGGTGGGGTGGTTCAAATAGCCTCGGCTATCACCTCATTTTGTCCGGTCGTGATGGTCAAGTGGATTAAGGCGTCTTGTACATACCAGTTGCGTGGCTCCTGGGAGTATGGGTTCGAGTCACTTCTGGGGTGTGAGTTTTCAGTTATATATATATATATATATATATATATATATATATATATATATATATATATATATATATATATATATATATATATATATATATATATATATATATATGTCGTACCTAGTAGCCAGAACGCACTTGTCAGCCTACTATGCAAGGCCCGATTTGCCTAATAAACCAAGTTTTCATGAATTAATTGTTTTTCGACTACCTAACCTACCTAACCTAACCTAACCTAACTTTTTCGGCTACCTAACCTAACCTAACCTATAAAGATAGGTTAGGTAGGGTTGGTTAGGTTTGGTCATATATCTACGTTAATTTTAACTCCAATAAAAAAAATTGACCTCATACATAATAAAATGGGTAGCTTTATCATTTCATAAGAAAAAAAATTGAGAAAATATATTAATTCAGGAAAACCTGGCTTATTAGGCAAATCAGGCCTTGCATAGTAGGCTGAGAAGCACGTTCAGGCTACTAGGTACGACATATATATATATATGTCGTACCTAGTAGCCAGAACTCACTTTTTGGCCTACTATTCAAGGCCCGATTTGCCTAATAAGCCAAGTTTTCCTGAATTAATATATTTTTTCTAATTTTTTTCTTATGAAATGATAAAGCTACCCATTTCATTATGTATGAGGTCATTTTTTTTTATTGGAGTTAAAATTAACGTAGATATATGACCGAACCTAACCAACCCTACCTAACCTAACCTAACCTATCTTTATAGGTTAGGTTTGGTTAGGTAGCCGAAAAAGTTAGGTTAGGTTAGGTTAGGTAGGTTAGGTAGTCGAAAAACAATTAATTCATGAAAACTTGGCTTATTAGGCAAATCGGGCCTTGCATAGTAGGCTGAGAAGTGCGTTCTGGCTATTAGGTACGACATATATATATATATATATATATATATATATATATATATATATATATATATATATATATATATATATATATATATATATATATATATATATATATATATATATATATATATATATAGAAACACAAGAATATTCAATATTCATTATATTCAACTGTGATTTTGCTTTCTCCTTCATATATTGAATTTGCTTGTTGAATATCAATTAAGAATCTATCCACACTCCGAGATATTGATATTGAATAACCCACTGAAGGTAATGTCTTGAATTCGTAAGTACCTGTCTGGAGTGTTGCCACCTAGTCTCATTGCCTTAGACTTCTGTGCAGATATTTTTAACACTAAAATGACGCATTCAGATGATACTTTATCTAACGCCTTTTGTGCTTTATTTAGAAATGAAGGCTCTGTAATGACTAATGCTATATCATCAGCATAGCTTAGCAATTTAACCCCTTCTGCAAATTATATGGTAACGAGGTTTTCCTTAAGGATGTTAAAAAGACTAGACTAGGACTAGGACCCATTCTCTTGCAAGTGGTAGTCCGACACTTGTCCTTGCAACTGTGCGCTGACATGCATGTGACTTCGGCAAAGTTCCTTATATGAATGTCTCCTCACGATATTTATCATAATGTTTAATGGTATAACTTTCAGGTCTTTGCGTATTTGTTAGGTCAGAAAGATTTTCATTTGATATTAGTGTAAGTATTCTGTCACTGGTAATGAAACATCCATAAATTTATACCTACCAGTTTTCTGTATGTAGTCTTTGCAAGCTTGTAAACAGTGTCATGCTTTGAGATGCCAACTTGTAAAGGTATCGAAAGAAATTTATATTCAAATCTGTTTCCTTTAGCGGTTAAAACATAGTATAAATAATTATTTATTTCTGAAACAAATGCAACATACTTCATAATTTATTTGTAAGATTATTATTGCTAACAAATATTGTGACTCTGAGAAGTGTATTTAAATTTTAACAAAGTTCACAAGAAAATCATTGTAGACTCCAAGATGACGACGCTCGAGACCTGGCAGAGAAGTCAACCTCGAGAGATGTATTGAACACAGACTCCAAGATAGGCTTCGATTAACAAGAAAGGATTCCGAGTTCATACTTGAAGTTGAACTAAATTTAGATTTATATTCCGTAGCCTCAACAATACCCACCATGGTCGCCACCACCATGGCCGCCATCACCAGTGGTAAAGCAGACGATTCTCGTTGCACCACCACCTCCATGGCTGCCACGGCCACCACAACAACCATCTCCATTATCTACCACCGCCACCTTAATCACAATATCCATAACCTCCCCTGGCACCACTATAATCACCTTCACCGTGATCACCACCACTAACGTAACAGCATATGGTTGTGCCTCCTCCTCCGCCAATCCCACGATCACCGCCTTCTCCGAACGCCCTACCTCGGAGCAACGCCGCCACCACCTCCATGGCAGCCATCGCCACCTCCAGGCCGCCGCCTCCTTCACAATAACTGCCACCACCACCTCCATTTGGAGAGTTTTCTCCTAATTAGTTATTAAATATTAAAGAACAATAAAGAATTTGTACGTTGATCGCCTAACACGTTTATGCCAAAGTGACACCCTAAAGCTTCAGCTAATCACCATATAGTTGCTTATAGTCAGTTGTGGTGGCTCGGTAGGTAGAGCTACCGGCTGTTTCTTGTGTGGTCTGCAGTTCAAGGCTCCGATGGTCCAAGTTAATGAAACGTTATTATCCATGATACGTTGGTTAGCAATTGATATGATTAAGATGTGGATCACCTAACCCGTACATACGAAAGTGGCATCACAGAAAATGACTAAAGTTTCAACCGGACAGCAAATAGGTATTCCTAGAATCATTTTTTTATGGTGGGTTTTGGTGGTTCAGTAGGTAGAGCCTTGCTCATTGTGCAGTATGAAACACTTTGAAAGATCTGCCATCGTTTTGCATATGTAGGGAGATGTGTGGGGGCTGACATGTAGTCCTCCAATGGGCATGTAATGAAATAGATTACATTCGTATATTTCTCTTTAGTGAAGGAAGGGTCACACGTTTCTGTCCATAATAACTTTCAGGATTGTTTCCTGTCATGTGGGTGGTTAATTTTTTTTTTTATCCTATCGAAGAGAATAACAGGTGGGGCCTCGAACCTGACAACTGAACTGTCAGTCCATTAGAGTGCACATTCTGCTACTGATGATGCATAAGAAATGTTGTAAGACCCATTTGCATCCTTTAACCCACATTCACTCGCATACAGTGTGCTACATCATACAGCATACAGGGACTACGTTATCTTGAGGTTATCTTGAGATGATTTCGGGGCTTTTTTTTTAGTGTCCCCGCGGCCCGGTCCTTGACCAGGCTTCCACCCCCAGGAAGCAGCCCGTGACAGCTGACTAACACCCAGGTACCTATTTTACTGCTAGGTAACAGGGGCATAGGGTGAAAGAAACTCTGCCCATTGTTCCTCGCCGGCGCCTGGGATTGAAACCAGGACCAAAGGATCACAAGCCCAGCGTGCTGTCCGCTCGGCCGACCGGCTCCCTACAGTAATTTCATCGATCTCTGATCATATTGGAACCATACACCTAACTACATGTATGCTAACAGCCTGTTATTGCTAATACCATATCAGTGACAGAGTGAACAGTTGGGAACTACCACATTGACTGCTTGATTGACAGTCGAGGGAGGGACCAAAGAGCCGAAGCTCAACCCCCTCTAGAACAACTACTTGAGTACAGGCCTCCCCAGTTTTGAACTTTTGAGAGAGTCGTGAGAGTCCGTTCCTAGTTCTTTTTAAAAGCCTCCTTTGCAATGCAAAGTTCTAAAGGATAACATAACGCATTTAATTAATATTATTTGGTAATAGCAAATTGGTATTACTGTAAAGAATCTTTCGAGTACGGAAGGTAGACAACTCTGCAGTCACATTCTTTTTTACCGATCCATCTCACATTTAAATCATGTAATATTCTGAGCCAAAAAATTACAAAACAATTCTCACAAAGTTTTCCGGTTGCTTGGGCTGTCAAGGCCTTGGCGACGGGACGCTGGTGCTGGTATATAACGCCTCGGGAACACATCTCATCATCCAGTTCGTGACGGAACTTGGTCCAGTAAACACCAATATGGTAAGACCATTATGGATCAAACTACTCTTCTCTTTCGTCTTCCATAAATTCTCACAACCGTTAACAACAACTACGTAGAGTGCTGCTCTACGTCAACCAGAGCAGCGTTCGTGTGTCTGGTTCATGTGTTTACAATGTTGTGTGGCGAACTTAATCATGTCTGAAGTTCTTGACGTTCACTGATAGGTTCGTTATCCTCGCTCCTGAGTGGCCCAAGAGCAGGCATTAAAGAGGAACTTATCATATATAGAGAAGATAAGTGCCGGAATCATGTTTCATCCTCTTTCTCGTCCGGTCATGCAACCTTGCGTTTGTTTACCCTCGAGATGTGTATCTTTAATCTTGTTCGCTTTCCACAAGTCAATTGAATTAGGAAAACTCTTCCTCATTAGGAGGAAGTGATCATGTGATCTGTGACCACTAAGTGCTGTCGGGTCGTTGGGGATATAGCCTCGGCTACCAATGACTTTTGAACTGTCAGTGTGGTTAAGTAGTCAAGAGTAGTGGATTCGTCATTGGGTTTTCAGATCCTTGGGGTTCAAGGTTCGAACCGTTTCATGAGGAAGAGTTTTCCTAATATATACCTAGTAGCCAGAACGCAGTTCTTGGCCTACTATGCAAGGCCTGATTTGCGTAAAAAGCAAAGTTTTCCAAAATTGCAATATTTTTCTCATTTTTTGCTTATGAAATAATAAAGCTATGCTTTTCATTATGAATGAGCTATTTTTTTAATTTTAGTTAAAACTAACGTAGATATATGACCGTACCTAACCAACCCTACCTAACCTAACCTAACCTATCTTAAACTAACCTAAACTAACATAACTAAATCAATAATTTATGTTCTTAATATAATATAATAATAATATGTAAAATAAACCAATAGGCAACAATTTATTGAAAATAAAGAAAATCACTCGGCCTATTAGGCAAATCGGGCCTTGCATAGTAGGCCGAGAAGTGCTCTCTGGCTATATATTCTAGAAGGGGTACCACCTCTGGTGCAAGTGTAGGGACATATATATATATGTCGTACCTAGTAGCCAGAACTCACTTCTCAGCCTACTATTCAAGGGCTGATTTGCCTAATAAGCCAAGTTTTCCTGAATTAATATATTTACTATAATTTTTTTCTTATGAAATGATAAAGCAACCCTTTTCTCTATGTATGAGGTCAATTTTTTTATTGGAGTTAAAATTAACTTAGATATATGACCGAACCTAACCAACCCTACCTAACCTAACCTAACTTATATTTATAGGTAAGGTTAGGTTAGGTAGCCAAAAAAAGCTAGGTTAGGTTAGGTTAGGTAGGTTAGGTAGACGAAAAAACATTAATTCATGAAAACTTGGCTTATTAGGCAAATCGGGCCTTGAATAGTAGGCTGAGAAGTGCGTTCTGGCTATTAGGTACGACATATATATATATATATATATATATATATATATATATATATATATATATATATATATATATATATATATATATATATATATATATATATATATATATACATATATATAAAATTCTGATGTCACTGAATCTATTCTTTATATGCATACTACTCTAAGCTTATACATTTGACAGGAAGGTCAGAACTACCACAGCCCCCCTCACAGTAACATTATTCTAGTGTCTGCTGGAAAATTTCACATTAGCAGAAATGGCAAATTTTCCTTAAAATTTAACATTCAGTTGGTTCTGAAGTAACACCAGTATATTAATGAATGTTGATACAATTTCAGAAGTTGGTGTTAATGTCCTTGGCCTTGGCCATGCTGGCCGTATCTAGCTTGGCCAGGCCAGGTGGACATGGAGGCGGAGGCGGCGGTGGCGGCTATGGAGGAGGCGGTGGCGGCCATGGAGGTGGTGGCGGTGGCGGCCATGGAGGTGGTGGCGGCGGCGGCTATGCTGGTGGTTCTTCTACCAGCGGCTTCAGCTTTGGAGGCCATGGAGGTGGCGGTGGAGGCGGCGGCCATGGAGGTGGCGGTGGCGGCCATGGAGGTGGTGGTGGGGGCCATGGAGGTGGTGGTGGTGAGGGCGGTTATAGTGGCGGCTCGTCTACCAGCGGCTTCAGCTTCGGAGGTCATGGAGGTGGCGGTGGTGGCCATGGAGGTGGTGGTGGCGGCGGTGGCGGACACAGTGGTGGTGGAGGCGGAGGTTATGGAGCTGGTTCATCGTCCAGTAGTTTTAGCCTTGGAGGACATGGAGGTGGTGGCGGAGGCGGCGGCCATGGGGGTGGCTTTGGTGGCGGAGGAGGCTATGGGGGTGGTTCTTCATCAGGCAGTTTCAGCCTCGGAGGACATGGAGGTGGCGGCTCTGGTGGTGGTGGTGGTGGCGGCTATGGAGGAGGCGGCTATGGGAAATAAACCTCGTTACTGTAAGCAGATATATTTATTATGTCATGAATAATGACATCAAACATTTGCTGAGTATTTCCTGTTACTGGTCCAGCAATTATTTATCATGTCAATCACATTATTGAATATTGTAAATAAATAAATAATATCATGCTATTCCTTTTATCTGTATTATTTTCAATATTATCAGAATAATAATTCGGTAAAATTAGGATGATAATGAGACACCATAGCTCTAAAGCTTTGAGAAATACTGATTAAAAGATCCTCGAAATGGTTAATCATTTATGCTTCAGAGGACTAAAGAACATAATTGATTTTCCTGAATATTGTGGTTTGATTATGGCCTGAGGTCTTTCAACCTCTGGAAGGGCGTTACGGCGGATTCAATTGTTTCAGACAAACTAATAGCAGTATCTTAGCCGTTAGTATTGTCTTGTAATATATAAACTCTCAGCGAATACTGACTGATAAATAGGTTCACCTTTCAGTGTATTCCTTGTTTTTAGCTTAAGAGCGTTTCTTGAAATTCAGAGTTGATTGATCTTCATAATAGACATTGTAAGAACAAATTAAATGTGCATAATTGCTAATAATGAAGGTTAGGCTGAAGTAACTCTCTCACATAACAAACACTCGTCACAATGTTAGTATGAAGAGTGCAAGTGACACACCTGTGAAGCACTTGTCATATTGTCCGTTCGGAGAGTGCAAGTGACGCTCATGTGAAGCACCTGTCATATTGTCTGTACGGAGAGTGAAAGTGCAGCCTGTCCTCCAAACAAAGACCCAAAAATGATTCCATGCACCCGCTAAACTCCCTGTTTACGATTGAAAAACGATTTACACACATCTCACAACTGATTTCGTTCGAACTCTTTCAGAACAAGTGCTTCACTGATGATTTTTTTTTCGAACCACAACGCTGTAAGATCTTCACCCACGTACTAAAATTACAAATAATCGCCAACAGAACCTAAACACCTAACCTAACCTAACCTATGTCTATATAGGCACAACCCAGGAAACAAACTGAAACTGTCTCTATTTTCAGCTTGTTACAACTTGTAATAAAGTTGTTACATCTTGGCTTAACGTGTTTATGACGTATTTGAACGTTGTTACAACTTGCTATATTGGTCGTTATAACTGGTTACGAGGTGTTAAAACTTGTTCGAACGTTGTACCATCGTCGTAGTTTCGGTGTGTGTTTGGCGGGAATATGCTACTATATTATAATATTAAATTATATTTGAGAAAATTCCCGTTTTGAATGAATAGCATGTCAAAATTTATGAATGCGTCTGTGGGGTTGACCACTGGATGTAGATTGGCTGGCTGACCAGCGAAGGGTCCGGGGTGCGCGGCGGCCTGCTCCCAGTCCAGCTCCAGCTGACAGTATGTCCAGACCGGGGATGCGGCCCTCTGGTTATTTTGTTTGGCGACATGGGGCACCCTCTTCCCCTGTCCGCCGTTCTGAGACAATTGGTCTGGATTTATCTGGCAGGGCGTCGTACCTGGCTGTGGAAGTGGTGATATGGGATATGTTATCTTGAGATGATTTCGGGGCTTAGCGTCCCCACGGCTCGGTCCTCGATCAGGCCTCTTTTTTGTTACATACCCCCAGGAAGTATCTTCTTGAGGTTATCTTGAGATGATTTCCTTTTTTTTTTTTTTTTTTTTTTTTTTAGTGTCCCCGTGGCCCGGTCCTCGACCAGGCCTCCACCCCCAGGAAGCAGCCCGTGACAGCTGACTAACACCCAAGTACCTATTTTACTGCTAGGTAACAGGGGCATAGGGTGAAAAAAAACTCTGCCCATTGTTTCTCGCCGGCGCCTGGGATCGAACCCAGGACCACAGGATCACATGTCCAGCGTGCTGTCCGCTCGGCCGACCGGCTCCGAGCAGCTGTTCCGTAGTAGCCAAGTAGCCCGTAGCAGCTGTCTAACTCCCAGATACCTATATACTGCTAGGTAACAGGGACATCAGGGTGAAAGAAACATTTTGCCTATTTGTTTCTGCCTTCACCGTGGATCGAACCCGGAACCTCAGGACTACGAATCCGAAGTGCTGTCCACTCAGCTGTCAGGTGTCCTATATAATGGGATAGTAACTTAAGAGTGTAACATGTTGGCAGTTTATGTTATTCTGGTTGCTTCCGTTCCTGTTACAGGGTCATTCGGTCCAGCTTCTGCATTGGACCGAGGTCTTGAAGTGGGTAGAGTGTAACTGTGTATTAGCTAGGTATTGATTGCTGGTCTAGATTTCTCGGTATGCAGCGCTTCACTGATGTCTAATCTTCTGTTGTCAATGTATCTATCAATTATTTCGGTGTTGCTCGTCAAAATATCCCTGGTGATCGTCTCTTTGTGTGTGGCGATTATATGTTCCTTGATGGAGCCTTGTTGTTTGTATATTGTTAAACGCCTAGAGAGAGACGTAGTTGTCTTGCCTATATACTGAGTTCGTTGGGGCTGACAATCTCCAAGTAGGCACGTGAAGGCGTAAACAGCGTAGGTCTCTTTCAAGACGTTTTTCTTGGTGTCTGGAAAATTCTTCATTAGCAGGTTGGCGGTTTTCCTATTCTTATAATATATTGTTAGTGTTATCTTTTGGTTGACGTCAGTTGGGGTAACGTTCCTCTCAATGATCTCTTTTAGGGCTCTTTCCTCTGCTTTGTGGGCCGTGGAGAAGACGTTTCTGTAGAACAGTTTTATTGGAAGTACGGGTATTGCGGTATTATTGATACTGTTGCCTGTTGCTCATCTCGCCACCTTCCTTTTTATTATGTCTTCGACATAACCTTTGGAGAAACCATTGTTAACCAAAATCTGTCTTCTACATAACTCCTCATCCAACTGCTTCCACTCAGAGCTGTGAGTGAGAGCTCGGTCGACGTAACCGTTCACAACACTCCGTTTGTATCTCTCCAATGAAGTCGCTGTCAGCGTTAAGGAAAATCCCTATGTTTGTCTCCTTAGTATACTGCATGATGAAAGCTGCGGTTCCTTTCCATGACTGCTACATCTAAGAAGGGCAGAGAACCCCCACTCTCCATCTCATAAGTGAAGTTTAAAACTAAGTTTTGCAAAACTCTTTCCTGCCAGAATCATAATCGAGCCAGATTCATATGATTCGTGCCAGAATAATAAATCTAAAACTCTTTGTCGTTTTCAGCGAAGTATATATATGCATATGTATGTGAATACAGGATATGTGGAAGCTGGTCAGAATTGCATTTCTCCTTTGTAAACGCCCGTTAATGAAACTGGAAAGAGACACCTCGAACACTGTTTATATTGAGCAGACGTAAAGCTGCGTATATATGTTTGTAGGTTAGATTTGCATTTTAAAAGCACTACAATCACCTTCGGTGGTTGATTGTTCAATAAATCACTGAACTATATGTTTGACAGATCTCTAATCCTGTCATTGTAGGAGAGTAAGAAATGTATATATGCTGCTTAGCATTGTAAATGTGTGGCAACATCTGTGATAGAAAATATTTAAAAAAAAAATCTTTATACTGGTTTAAAAAATGTGAATCATTAGTACAACTATTACATACAATTTTAACCATATAAATCACGGTTTATAAAAAAGGAATCCTTATTTTAAACATTAGGATCATTATGACTTTTTATTAATATTATTACCCAAGTTTTGCGGGAGAACCCTTATACCAGAAACAGTCCATACAAATACAACAATTACAAAAATTTTTTTTTTCATTATATGAGGAAAATAACAAACGATTACTACTAGTATATAATAATTTTTCATTAAATATTACAAAAAACATTTGTTTAACCTTAACAATAGCAATTTGTTTAATAGGAGTTTTGTTTAAGTAAATTATTAACAGTCCATAATAGTGGCTTTCCTATTTTAATAATAAACATTCGTTGAGAATTACTTTTTTTTTTACTTTAGTCAATTTCTGCATATATATATTTCTAATAAACTTTCTTATAAGAGAAACTTCTGCTGGTCCTGGCTTTGGCCCCCAGACTCAATCGAACAAGTGGTATAGAAAGTGCTGAAATAACTAAGGCGTTTTGAAATAGAAAAATAGATATTAAATTTCTAATCGACATTACCTAACTGCCCCACAAGGATTCCAGGTGGCACCTACCTACCTACTGCCTGACTGGAACTTCAGGCCTTCCGGTGGGGTGCCACTTTGGCATGTTGGTGATTCATGTCTGAGTCATATAACTTGTTAACCATTATATCATTGGCAATAATAATTCATTCACCTGGACACTTGGAGCCTTGAACCGCCGTCCACATAGACAGTAGTCAGTCGATCTACCTTTACTTCCTTTAAAATGTCCCAACCACTAAGGCTGGGTGGTGGAGCGACGGTCTCACCTCATGCAGGCCGGCGTTCAATCCCCCGACCGTCACAGTGGTTGGGCACCATTCCTTCCCCCCGTCCGATCCCAAATCCTTATCCTGACTCCATTCCCAGTGCTAAATAGTCATAATGGCTTGGTACTTTCCCCTGAAAATTCCCTTCCCTTCCTTTAAAACGGTGTTGGTGGCTCAGTAGGTAGAGCGGCTAGCTACTGTGTGGTGGTCAGTGGATCAAGGCTCCGATTGTCCAGATGAATGAAATTGTATTATTCACAGTCATGGTGCTTAGCAAATTTACATATCGACATATACATATTCAAACCTTATCTAAAGGTTCCTATTGGGCAGAAGACAGGTTTCTCTAGAATCTTTCTCTATTAAGGGGGGTTGATAATTAGATGAGGCCGTAATATGAGTACAAATTTTCTGATCTATCCAGTATTATATGCAGTAATAACATGAAATGTGACATAACAGAATCACTTTGTAGAAAACACTCCTTTAATTATCAGTTTCTACTAATGATAAAATAATAACAAAAAAATCAATACTGATGACATCGATGTGTATCAGAATTTGACAAGACTTCATCAATCAGCGCAATAAATGCTTGAAAATTTAAGTTATAAGTTCAAACTTGTCATATTACACCTGAAGTGTTCAGGTGTAACTTGACCTTTTCTTCTGGGATCTGGAAGTTTGCTGATGCTGGTTGACTAAATATTGGTATCTCACTTTCCTCATATTCAAAGGTTTGCGATGGATTATTATCTTGTGGTGAGTTAATTTATTAATTTGTATTTTAAATGTGTTAGAAGATCTTGCCACTTTGTGTGTTTGTTAAATAATATGTATTTCTCACTTTATTTGGTTCTCCATGTGTCATGTTGGGCCATGTTAACACCTTAAATATGACCCCAACATGAGCCGTCACTCTACACGTGGTTTGCTATAGTATTATTATTTTGGGGCCTTGTCACATCTGTATGTTTTATAATTGAGTAGTATTTAAGACAGCATTATTTATATTAATATTTATGTGAGTACTAAAATCAGTCACAATCAGTACTCAGTCTCAATGTAGGATTGAAAACAGGAGATGCTTTTTCACCCACAGGGTTATTAGCTCATGGAACCGCCTACCCACCGATGCCGTAAATCCAGAAATTCTGTTAACTTTTAGTATTCAATTGGAAAAATTCATCAAGACAAATGGGGGGACTTCGACAAGCCGACGGCTTCCTGTCCTCGTCGAGGCCACTGGTGATAGTGGCTCTTATGTAAACTCAGGTAAAAAAAAATTGTGAGAGCTGACTTGGACGTTTTAGAGGTAACGTGAGAGAAAACGTGTCTCTCAGATGTTTATTTGATTCGAACATATCCTCGTTAATCCATACGGAAAATATGACTGGTGCTTCACACGAGTCACTTCTCTCCGTTCGGATAATATGACAGATGCTTTACATGTTGGTCACTTGCACTCTCTGGATGGACAATATGACATATACTTCTCACGAGCATCTCTTGCACTCTCCTTGTGGACAATATGACAGGTGCTTCACATGAGCGTCACTTGCACTTTCCGTACGGAAAATACAACATGTGCTTTACACTTGTCACTTGCACTCTCCATTCGGACAATATGACAGGTGCTTCACATGTGTCACTTGTACTCTCCGTACGGACAATATGACCAGTGCTTCACATGTGTGTCACTTGCAATCTTCATACTAACATTGTGACGAGTGTTTGTCACGTGAGAGAGTTACATCAGCCTAACCTTCATTATTAGCAATTACGCACATTTAACTTGTTCTTCTAATGGCTATTATGTAGATCAAGAAACTCCGAATTTCAGGATATGCTCTTAAGCTAACAGCAAGGAATGCACCGAGAGGTGTACCTATTTATCAGTGAATATTCGCTGAGAGTTTATATTTTACAAGACAATACTAACGACTAAGATATTGCTGCTAGGTGGTCAAAAGGCAATTAAATCCGCTGTAACGCCCTTCCACGGGTTGAAAGACCTTCAACCCATAACCAAAACCACAAACTTCCAGTTATACATTCAGGAGTCGGCCGCTAGAGGTCGCCGTGTGAGGGCGTGTTGTGTGCGCCTCTCTTAGTGCTGCCTGGAATGTTGTAGTGTCCGGGCCGGGGCGCAGCCCCCGGCCCGGACAGTTTTGAGTCAGCGCCATGGGGAACCCCCTGCCCCCCCCCCTATTTGCCATACGAAGACTATAGGCCTGGAGTTCACTGGCCGAGCGACATATCTTGTGGTGGGGGTCTTTCTGTTGGATATGCTCCGCGTTCGAATGTCTGATGTATTTAGTACACAACTGCTAACGACCCACCTGACACACGTCAAGTTCCACTCCCCAACTGTCTATCAAGACTTCGTGGTCAGGTATGATGAGCGTTTGTTTACCCTCCCGGGTGACGGCAGTAGTCTCTGTCTCGGAGCGCTGGTGCGCCCTCACGTATGTGGCGCTGCATGGGGTCCCCTTTGAATTTACTGAAGACCTTCTTTGGCGTTATTTTGGGAACTTTGGGACCGTGGTTTCCCTATGGTTGAATAACGTCTCTTCCGGCAGGTGGCGAGGGGTCTCGTGTGGTACCTGGACCCCTCGCCCTGCGTCTCAAGTCGCCTGTTTTATCTACTGTTACGTTGATGGGCTACAACTTGCGTGCTATTTACGCAGGGCAGCCCAGGACATGTTTTCTTTGTGGACTTGTGGGGCACCAAGTGGCAGCCTGTACTGGAGAAGCAGCTGCACCTGTGAACTTGTTTAGAGAGGAGGATTTTCTCCCGTTGGTGGCTCAAGATCTGTTGCCTTGTGATGGTGTGGGTGGGGAGGCTTCCCTACTGTCTGGTGACCCAGTGATGTTACCAGGTTCCTCGGTTTGTGTGCCCGTGAGTACAGGCCCGTGTGCGTGACGGGGTGGTGGTGTGTTAGGTTCGGCCCCTGCAGTCAGCCTTTTTGCTTCAGCAGGCTCTCTCGCTTCAGCAGGCTTCCTCGCCTCTACATGCTTCTTCTCCTCTGCAGGGGCATGTATCTCCGCGTGCTCCCTCTCCTGTGCTGGCCCCTTTACTTCCGCCAGCTCCACCTGCCCTGTCTCCAGTTCTGGTGCTCCCTGTGGAATGTGGCCTCGTGCCCCATATCGTCGAGGCTGATGTACTGCAGGGTCGCACTTTACCCACCGTAGGGCAGCCGGCCGACGGCTCTTCTCGGGTGGCGACAGCTCCGACGATCAACGACCAGTCTCGAAGCGTTCTCGGACAGATAGGAGTGTGTCGTCACCTAGTTGGGTGGGCTGCGGAATGTGACCTGGAGGACTCTGAGGGCTCTTCCTCTGTGGAGTGCGAAGTTGGTGTGCAAGGTGGCGCTGTGGATCCGGCGGGTGGCTTGGACCCTGTTGTTGGGGTGGGGGCTGGTGAGGAACCCTTGGATCCTGCTTTGGGTACCTCGCCTGCGTTCGTGTGTTTTGGTTCCACGTGGGGGGTAGTTCCCCCTGCCGACGATGCTGGTGAGCATGGTGGGATGGTGGAGGTTCTAAAAAAGGCTGCTCGTGTGCTCCATGCCCCTGTCTCCTGTTCCATCGGCGGAGGTGTTACCACCTCTCCAGTCTTCGCCTTCTTCTTTAGTGTCTCCTGTCTCGTCGGCGGCAGTATTGCCGCCTCTCCAGTCTTCGCCTTCAGTGTCTACTGCCTCGCCGGCGGCGGTGGTGCCGCCTCTTCAGCCTCCACCTCCGTTTTCGTTGACCAATGATCCGGGGCGACCTCCTCCGCCCGGGGTGGTTCCGCCTGATATTGCAGTGCCGGAGCTCATAAAGTACCCGCGGCGTCGTGGGAATGTCCGCCCTACCGACCGAGAGTGGGTGACTTGGAATGTTTATGCTAGGATGTTTCCGAAGAAGGATTTCCCTTGGAGGTATGAGGATCATTGTTTATAGTGTGTTTGTTACTGTTGCACTGGTTTCCTGTGTGTTTCGGTGTCTGTTTGTGTATGTAAGTGTGGCTGTGGGATTGGTGGTTGCGTGTGTCTGTGGTTGGGGTGTTAGTTCCCGGTTCCTGCGTGTTCCGGTATTTTTGTTTGGGAGTTTCGGTGTGTAGATGTGGTTTTTTTTATCGGTTTTCGGTTTTTGCATGTTCCGGTGTTTGTTCTAGTGTGTATCCATGCGTGGATGTGGGGTTTTCTTATTTTCTTTGTCATGTCTTTTCTACTCTGTCATGTCTTATTCTTGTCTTTATTGTCGTTCATTTTACATTAGGGTCTGTTTTTTCTGCCTCTCTGTTCCTGTGTGTTCCGGTTATTTGTTTGTGTGTAATAGTTTTTGTGTGGCCCTTGTGGCTGATTTGTTTTCTGTGTTAATTTGTTTCTTGCTTCTTTCTGTACCTTTTGTTTATTTCCCTTTTTGTTTCTACACTTCCTGTCCGTTTCAATGTTCTCTGTTTGTGCATTGTTTTATAGTATCTTTGAACAATATTTTTTTTTATTTTATAAATAAAAACAAGTTATATACTCAGGAAAATCAATAATGTTCGCTTAGTCCTCTGAAGCATAAATGATTAACTATTTCGAGGATCTTTTAATTAGTATTTCTCAAAGCTCTAGAACTATGGTGTCTCATTATCATCCTAATTTTATCGAATTATTATTCTGAAAATATTGAAATAATACAGATAAAAGGAATAACATGATATTATTTATTTATTTACAATATTCAATAATGTGATTGACATGATAACTAATTGCTGGACCAGTAACAGGAAATACTCAACAAATGTTTGATATCATTATACATGACTTAATAAACATATCTGCTTACAGTAACGAGGTTTATTTTCCATAGCCTCCTCCTCCATAGCCGCCACCACCACCACCAGAGCCGCCACCTCCATGGCCTCCGAGGCTGAAACTGCCTGATGAAGAACCACCTCCATAGCCTCCACCACCACCACCACCAAAGCCGCCACCCCCATGGCCGCCGCCTCCGCCACCCCCATGGCCGCCGCCTCCGCCACCACCGCCATGTCCTCCAAGGCTAAAACTACTGGACGATGAGCCAGCTCCATAACCTCCGCCGCCACCACCACTGTGTCCGCCACCGCCGCCGCCACCGCCACCACCGCCACCTCCATGACCTCCGAAGCTGAAGCCACTGGTAGACGAGCCGCCACTATAACCGCCCCCACCACCACTTCCATGGCCCCCACCACCACCTCCATAACCGCCACCACCACCTCCATGGCCGCCACCTCCACCGCCACCTCCATGGCCTCCAAAACTGAAGCCGCTGGTAGAAGAACCACCAGCATAACCGCCACCGCCACCACCTCCATGGCCACCACCACCACCTCCATAACCACCACCACCACCACCTCCATGGCCTCCACCTCCACCTCCATGGCCTCCAAAACTGAAGCCGCTGGTTGAAGAACCACCAGCATAACCGCCGCCGCCACCACCTCCATGGCCACCACCGCCACCACCTCCATGGCCGCCACCGCCGCCACCTCCATAGCCGCCACCGCCGCCACCTCCATAGCCGCCACCGCCGCCTCCGCTTCCATGTCCTCCTGGCCTGGCCAAGCCAGATACGGCCAGCATGGCCAAGGCCAAGGATATTAACACCAACTTCTGAAATTGTATCACATTCATTAATATACTGGTGTTACTTCAGAACCAACTGAATGTTAAATTTGAAGTTAAATTGAGAGGAAAATTTGCCATTTCTGTTAATGTGAAGTTTTCCAGCAGACACTAGGTTAGTATGACTGTGACGTGGCTGTGTTAGTACTGGCCTTCCATTCAAATGTATAAGCTTAGTGTAGTACATGTCAAGTACAGGTTCAGTGACATCAGAATTTTTATTACTTCTTCAAATATTATACATAATTTATACATATGACTTCTTCATATATATTATACATATGACTTCTTCATATATATTATACATATGACTTCTTCATATATATTATACATATGACTTCTTCATATATATTATACATATGACTTCTTCATATATATTATACATATGGCTTCTTCATATATATTATACATAATATATATGAAGACGTAATAAGTAAATCCTTTAATTAATATAAACCTTAAGCTAATATCATATTCAAAACTCTTAAGCCAAATAAAAAACAATTATAATGATTTAATATAATTAGAGTAAAAATTTTCACATAAGGAAAAAATAATACATAAGGAAACTAATTATAATGTATTCAGTAAGATGAATAAAGCTGTTCTCATGGTATTAATACCGTGATAACGCTAAAAACAAATATAGTTGTGTTGTGCCACAAATCCTTGTAGAATAAAGACTTATTGTATTTAACTTTGAAATATTGGTGTATTTCCAGGGTGCATACTTCGTACGTTGTATGTATATTAACTTTTAAAATGCTCCTAGTTTGGAGTGTATTGAGGAAATGACTGGAGGTAGCAAATGAATTTATATAACAACTCTGAATTTTCTTTGGTTCAGAAAATATAGAATTTAAGCAGAGGTCACAACAACGTGATTAAAACCAATAACCCAATCCGCATCTGTGACAAGTGACGTAATTGAGATTCATCCAAGATCCTTATGTCTCACTCTTTCTCCGTTGCAACTTTATGTATATATATATATGCGAACAACCTTGAATGGTTTCCAAGCATATATGCATCTGAAAACTCAACACCCCAGAAGTGACTTGAACCCAGACCACCAAGAGCGCAATGCAACTGGGGTACATGGTACCTTAACCGCTAGACCATCAGTGACCATACAAAAGATGATGATTTTATATATATATATATATATATAAATTTTGTGAGGGTACCACCTCTGGTGCCAATGTGGGGACCCATAGCCTCATAGAAGAAAATAAAAAGTATTCAGAGGAGACCTTGTGGTTTCTCACTGAACACTAATATTATCTTCTCCTACCACCCCCATTCTATATATATATATATATATATATATATATATATATATATATATATATATATATGCGCATACCTGCCATCTTGATGGCCAGGGTTCAAGTCCCCTGATGGGTGTGTATGTCTAAAGTTTCTATACTTCTAACTTGTGTGTATAAGCAAGTGTGTGCATAAATAAATAAATATATATATATATATATATATATATATATATATATATATATATATATATATATATATATATATATATATATATATATATATATCAGACTACAGAGGAAGAATTGAAACAGGAATTTCCTTAAGTACTTTCGTATATTAATTAATACATAAGGAAATTCCTGTTTCAGTTATTCCTTCGTGGTTTGATACTGTCACATTTTTCATCACGTGTTAATTTCGTGATTTACACACACACACACACACACATACACACACACACACACACACACACACACACACACACACACACACACACACACATATATATATATATATTAGGAAAACACTTCCTCGTGAAACGGTTCGAACCTTGGACGCCCAGGATCTGGAAACCCAATGGTGTGTCCAGTACTCGGACCACATGACCACACTGACAGTACAAAAAGTAATTGGTAGCCGAGGCTATATCCCCAACGACCCGACAGCGCTTGGTGGTCACAGTTCACATGATCACTCCCTCTTAATGAGGAAGAGTTTTCCCTAATTCAATTGACTTGTAGAAAGCGGAGAAGATTAAAGATACACATCTCGAGGATAAACAAACGCAAAGTTGCATGACCGGACGAGAAAGAGGATGAAACATGATTCCGGCACGTATCTTCTCTATATGATAAGTTCCTCTTTATTGACCTGGGCGACTCAGGAGCGAGGATAACGAGCCTATTAGGGAGCGTCAAGAACTTCCAATATGATTAACTTCGCCACACAACATTGTAAACACATGAACCAGACACACGAACGCTGCTCTGGTTGACGTAGAGCAGCACTCTACGTAGTTGTTGTTAACGGTTGTGAGAATTTATGGAAGACTAAAGAGAAGTGTAGTTTAATCCATAATGATCTTACCATATTGGTGTTTACTGGACCAAGTTCCGTCACGAACTGGATGATGAGATGTGTTCCCGAGGCGTTATATACCAGCACCAGCATCCCGTCGCCGAGGCCTTGACAACCCAAGCAACCGGAAAACTTTGTGAGGATTGTTTTGTCATTTTTTGACTCAGATTATTACACGATTTAAATGTGAGATGGATCGTTATTAAAAGAATGTGACTGTAGATCTAGATCTGTACGGTCTAGGCTCCATACTCGAAAGATTCTTTACAGTAATACCAATTTGCTATTACCAAATAATACTAATTAAATGCATTATTTTATCCTGGAGAACTTTGCATTGCAAAGGAGGCTTTTAAAAAGAACTAGGAACGGACTCCTACGACTCTCTGAAGAGTTCGAAACTGGGGAGGCCTGTACTCAAGCAGTTGTTCTATATGGGGTTGAACTTCGGCTCTTTGGTCCCTCCTACGACTGTCTATCAAGCAGTCAATGTGGTAGTTCCCAACTGTTCACTCTGCCAGTGATATGGTATTAGCAATAACAGGCTGTTAGCATACATGTAGTTAGGTGTATGGTTCCAATATGATCAGAGATCGATGAAATTACTGTACTCACCTAGTCCCTGTATGCTGTATGGTGTATCACTCACTGTATGCGAGTGAATGTGGGTTAATGCATGCAAATGGGTCTTAGAGCATTTCTTATGCATCATCAGTAGCAGAATGTGCACTCTAATGGACTGACAGTTCAGTTGTAAGGTTCGAGGTCCCACCTGTTATTCTCTTCGTCAGGATAAAAAAAAAAATTAACCACCCACATGACAGGAAACAATCAGGGAAAGTTATGAAGGACAGAAACTTGTGACCCTTCCTACACTATAGAGAATTATACGAATACGAATGTCATCTATTCATTTACATGCCCATTGGTGGACTATGTCAGCCCCTCATATATATATATATATATATATATATATATATATATATATATATATATATATATATATATATATATATATATATATATATATATATATATATATTTTCATTGAATATGACCGCATATTCTGTATTTATTATTTTCTGGTTTAGGGCTTCTATCCCTCTAACTATTTTCTTAGCATCAGGGCTTAATTGAAATAGGAGTTCTCCAAAACTCATTTTCGTACTTTTAAGGTGAAGAAAAGAAGTGAATTACTATAGAGTGTATTACACTTATTTGTATAATTTGCACGACGTTTCGAACCTCCATGGTTCATTCTCAAGTGAACAGATCTTTACAATACTAGTTGATTTTATACCCGCATTAGGTCAGGTGATAATACAATGAAGGTGAAAACACGGGGGGATACATAAGGGATAAACATAGGGGCTGCAGAAGGCTTATTGGCCCATACGAGGCATCTCCTATCTAAACACAAAGATTAATCCAATTACACCGGATTAATCTTTGTGTTTAGATAGGAGATGCCTCGTATGGGCCAATAAGCCTTCTGCAGCCCCTATGTTTATCCCTTATGTATCCCCCCGTGTTTTCACCTTCATTGTATTATCACCTGACCTAATGCGGGTATAAAATCAACTAGTATTGTAAAGATCTGTTCACTTGAGAATGAACCATGGAGGTTCGAAACGTCGTGCAAATTATACAAATAAGTGTAATACACTCTATAGTAATTCACTTCTTTTCTTCACCTTAAAAGTACGAAAATGAGTTTTGGAGAACTCCTATTTCAATTAAGCCATGATGCTAAGAAAATAGTTAGAGGGATAGAAGCCCTAAACCAGAAAATAATAAATACAGAATATGCGGTCATATTCAATGAAACATGTTTGAAAGAAAACCTGCTGCCAGTATACACCAATATATATATATATATATATATATATATATATATATATATATATATATATATATATATATATATATATATATATATATATATATATATATATATATATATATATATAAGGGGGTACCACCACTGGTGCAATTATAGGGACCCACAGCCTCAGAGAAGGGAACACAGAGCATTCAAGGAAAAACTTGCCATTTAACTCTGAATACGTAAGAGTGTTCGCTTCTCCTACCACCCCCCTTTTTTATGTTGTACACTTTATTATGCAAGGTTATACAGTTACATATCTGATTTTATACAAAAAATTAACATTAAGAGGACACAAAAAAAGTTCGCTTCCTAGAGGCTGTAGATTTCCTCGAACTCCTCCGACGCCGGGCATGAACCGAGGATGCAGCGAGCATTCCCCCTCTGGATCGAGACACTGAGGCGCAGAAAGAGAAAACTTGCTGCTCTAGGGTCTCTTGTGGTGTCAATGAGCTTGGAACCAAGATCTTTAAGAAACCTTCTTGCACTCTCTCCCCATGGGCCTAGGGTCTCGGACCCTATTGGAACGAAGTTGTACCGATGATCTAATTGCCTGTACTTGGCTGACTTGTCTCTTTCTCTGCGTGTCGCCTCGGCTCCTGCTGTGCCGGCAGAGAGGTTGATGTATGTGGTTGCCAGGGTGGATACACAAGTATAGTCCCATGCCAACTGTCTGCCACCCTGCCATGGTCGCAGTGTGATTCCGTCTGGTCGGCCGGCAATGCTAACAGAGTCACAGTTCAGTACATTGCGGGGCTCTCTCTCCGCTGGACACTGAGCAGAGGCAAGGCTTCTTTTAATGATGTCATTGACTTCGTCGTGTCTAGTGTGCCAACCACCAGATTTTCCACAGTGCAGGCCATGCAGTCCATACTCGTCAGCATCTGCCTCGCCGCAAATACACCTATGAACAGTGTGGATAGGGGCAGCAAGACGGAGAGCGACTGCAATACGGAGCTTCTGCGGATCAAGACATGTGCCTGTCGCAGACATAGGGACTGCCAAAAGGAAGTCCCCTGCATGGGAAGCCTGCACAGCT